TAGCATGTTTTCATTTCAGCTTGCAACAATTATATCATATGTTGGCAACAAATCATGGCCGAAACAACATTTTGTTAAATCTCAAAAAAAAAGAACGGAGAAAAATTAAAGAAGCCTCAACCAACTAAATTATAACAAAACAACATGCAACACTTTGCTTAACATAAAATAGTAGCCAACAATGTAGCATGCAACATTAAGAGCTTAAGCGAAAAGAGCAGAAAAAAAACAGGGAGACAAGAAAATGATGACATGAAAATCAGGTGTTATAAAAAAGACAACATAAACTATAAACATAAACAAAACAGGAGGACATTTAAGGCACGAGAAGCCAGACAGACAACACCAAGGAAATTTATTTCAAGAGAAAAACAGGTGGCAATAAAGTTGTAACTGAATTGAAATATTTTTAAATTTAAATTTTAACTTAGACGAGCTTTGTGCAAGTTATTTAAATATTAAACAAATCATTTTAATAAATATAAACAACAAAAATTGGAACAAGTTGTTTCTAAAAAAAAACAACAATAACATTTGTTATTTAAAGTTTATTTGTTGTTTTTTGTTTAAAATATTAAAAAATAATATTAAGTGCTAAACATGTTAAATTATGAGTTCATAACACCAAAAATATCTGCTTAATTGGATACACAACTTACCCAGATTAACTATTCTTTGGTTTTAAATATATGGAATTAATAAAAATACCAGCTTAATTTTCTACCGAATTTTTTTGTTTTTTCTCAAAAAAAAAACAAAATTAACATATTTAATTAATTCAAAACGTTAATCATTTTCATACAGTAACAACAAAAAAAACAAATGTTTTGTTTTTGTTGTATGTATTTATTATTAAGCGTATAATAAAAACTACTCTAATTTGGTTGTCAATGTTTAGTTTTTGAAAAATATTTCAAAAAAATGAACTTGATCAACAGTTTGCAGGTAGTTTGTGATGATTGTATCACAAAACGAACAAAAGCTGAAAATTTATCCGTAAAATATATAACAATAATTTAAATTAAATGTTTATAATTAAGGCGCCAAAAAAGTGTTTAAAAATATAACATGTAGGCTGAGAGCTAACTGGACTTTAAAAGGCGCTACTCATTTAAGAATGCTCCGGCCTAGTTTAGTTCTAGTTCAGTTCTAGTTCAGTTCTAGTTAGTTAGTCAGTTCTAGTTCAGTTCTAGTTCAGTTCTAGTTCAGTTCTAGTTCAGTTCTAGTATTTTCAGTTCTAGTTCAGTTCTAGTTCCAGTTCTAGTTTCAGTTCTAGTTCAGCCTTCTAGTTCAGTTCTAGTTGCAGTTCTAGTTCAGTTCTAGTTCAGCTTCTAGTTCAGTTCTAGTTCAGTTCTAGTGCAGTTCTAGTTCAGTTCTAGTTCAGTTCTAGTTGTCGTTCTAGTTCAGTTTCTAGTTCAGTTCTAGTTCTGTCTAGTTCTGTTCTAGTTCAGTTCTAGTTCAGTTTCTAGTTCAGTTCTAGTTCAGTTCTAGTTCAGTTCTAGTTCAGTTCTAGTTCAGTTCTAGTTCAGTTCTAGTTCAGTTCTAGTGCAGTTCTAGTTCAGTTCTAGTTCAGTTCTAGTTCAGTTCTAGTTCAGTTCTAGTTCAGTTCTAGTTCAGTTCTAGTTCAGTTCTAGTTCAGTTCTAGTTCAGTTCTAGTTCAGTTCTAGTTCAGTTCTAGTTCAGTTCTAGTTCAGTTCTAGTTCAGTTCTAGTTCAGTTCTAGTTCAGTTCTAGTTCAGTTCTAGTTCAGTTCTAGTTCAGTTCTAGTTCAGTTCTAGTTCAGTTCTAGTTCAGTTCTAGTTCAGTTCTAGTTCAGTTCTAGTTCAGTTCTAGTTCAGTTCTAGTTCAGTTCTAGTTCAGTTCTAGTTCAGTTCTAGTTCAGTTCTAGTTCAGTTCTAGTTCAGTTCTAGTTCAGTTCTATTTCAGTTCTAGTTCAGATCTAGTTCAGTTCTAGTTCAGTTCTAGTTCAATTCTAGTTCAGTTCTTGTTCAGTTCTTGTTCAGTTCTTGTTCAGTTCTTGTTAAGTTCTTGTTCAGTTCTTGTTCAGTTCTTGTTCAGTTCTTGTTCAGTTCTAGTTCAGTTCTAGTTCTGTTCTAGTTCTGTTCTAGTTCTGTTCTAGTTCTGTTCTAGTTCTGTTCTAGTCTGTTCTAGTTCTGTTCTAGTTCTGTTCTAGTTCTGTTCTAGTTCTGTTCTAGTTCTGTTCTAGTTCTGTTCTGGTTCAGTTCTAGTTATGTTTTATTTCTATTCTAGTTCAGTTCTAGTTCAGTTCAAGTTCAGTTCTAGTTCTGTTCTAGTTCTGTTCTAGTTCTGTTCTAGTTCTGTTCTAGTTCTGTTCTACTTCTGTTCTAGTTCTGTTCTGTTTCAGTTCTAGTTATGTTTTATTTATATTCTAGTTTAGTTCTAGTTCAGTTCAAGTTCAGTTCTAGTTCAGTTTTCGCTCAGTTCATGTTCAGTTAGAGTATTAGTTTAGTTAGTCTTCTGACTGTAGCGCTCAATTAAAACTTATTATACTTAAATAAACGTTTTTTTATTAAACTTGTTAAAAGCATTATTATTATCGAAAAGATTTATGGGTTCGAGCAAATTTTGAAATAATAATAACAAACACATCAAACAACTATACCAAATAAGAAAAAAAAACTCTAAAAATATTGAATAATAAGAAAAGAAACCAGCTGCTGCTCTACTGCTGCTGTTAAATTTAAATTTAGATTTAAATTTTTTTGCAGCTCATTTTCTAAAGTAGGAATTGAAAACCACAGAAACAAAACATTCAAAATATATAACACAAAATACAAATAAAATAAATTTTAATTAAAGCAAAATGATATAAAAGTATTAAATAAAACACCAATAATCACTAAATATTTATGAATAATAAAATATACCCAAAAACATCAGAACAGTGAAATGTTCATAAAATTGACAAAATTACAAAATTTTGAAGATATATTTAAGCAATTTCTTTTTATCCCTTTAGTATGGACTTGACTGTTAATTTTTGTTATTATGAGATTGCATGTTGTTAATTTTTTAGGAACGCCAGCTAAAACAGATTCCATATACAAGATTATTAAGTATTTAAAATTATGCACTGATATAATTTTTTGGCTTTATCTCGTTTTATTTTAAATTTAAGATCTCTTTAAAAAAAACAACATTTCCTGCTGTTTTCTATTTAACAAGTCACAATTTTGTATGAAGATTTATCATACCTGATTAAAATTTCAAACTAACGAAGGAATGACATATTTATGACAGTTTAAATGATATAAGAAAAAACATGCCAAAGGTCAATATTTATAAAAATTATTGACATCAGAGGAAAACTAGGTTGAAGTTTAGATCAGGTTCTAGTTTTGTTCAGTTCTAGTTCAGTTCCAGTTCAGTTCCAGTTCAGTTCTAGTTCAGTTCTAGTTCAGTTCTAGTTCAGTTCTAGTTCAGTTTCTAGTTCAGTTCTAGTTCAGTTCTAGTTCAGTTTCTAGTTCAGTTCTAGTTCAGTTCTAGTTCAGTTCTAGTTCAGTTCTAGTTCAGTTCTAGTTCAGTTCTAGTTCAGTTCTAGTTCAGTTCTAGTTCAGTTCTAGTTTCAGTTTCTAGTTCAGTTCTAGTTCAGTTCTAGTTCTAGTTCAGTTCTAGTTCAGTTCTAGTTCAGTTCTAGTTCAGTTCTAGTTCAGTTCTAGTTCAGTTCTAGTTCAGTTCTAGTTCAGTTCTAGTTCAGTTCTAGTTCAGTTCTAGTTCAGTTCTAGTTCAGTTCTAGTTCAGTTCTAGTTCAGTTCTAGTTCAGTTCTAGTTCAGTTCTAGTTCAGTTCTAGTTCAGTTCTAGTCAGTTTCTAGTTCAGTTCTAGTTCAGTTCTAGTTCAGTTCTAGTTCAGTTCTAGTTCAGTTCTAGTTCAGTTCTAGTTCAGTTCTAGTTCAGTTCTAGTTCAGTTCTAGTTCAGTTCTAGTTCAGTTCTAGTTCAGTTCTAGTTCAGTTCTAGTTCAGTTCTAGTTCAGTTCTAGTTCAGTTCTAGTTCAGTTCTAGTTCAGTTCTAGTTCAGTTCTAGTTCAGTTCTAGTTCAGTTCTAGTTCAGTTCTAGTTCAGTTCTAGTTCAGTTCTAGTTCAGTTCTAGTTCAGTTCTAGTTCAGTTCTAGTTCAGTTCTAGTTCAGTTCTAGTTCAGTTCTAGTTCAGTTTCTAGTTCAGTTCTAGTTCAGTTCTAGTTCAGTTCTAGTTCAGTTCTAGTTCAGTTTAGTTCAGTTCTAGTTCAGTTCTAGTTCAGTTCTAGTTCAGTTCTAGTTCAGTTCTAGTTCAGTTCTAGTTCAGTTCTAGTTCAGTTCTAGTTCAGTTCTAGTTCAGTTCTAGTTCAGTTCTAGTTCAGTTCTAGTTCAGTTCTAGTTCAGTTCTAGTTCAGTTCTAGTTCAGTTCTAGTTCAGTTCTAGTTCAGTTCTAGTTCAGTTCTAGTTCAGTTCTAGTTCAGTTCTAGTTCAGTTCTAGTTCAGTTCTAGTTCAGTTCTAGTTCAGTTCTAGTTCAGTTCTAGTTCAGTTCTAGTTCAGTTCTAGTTCAGTTCTAGTTCAGTTCTAGTTCAGTTCTAGTTTAGTTCTAATTCAGTTCTAGTTCAGTTCTAGTTCAGTTCTAGTTCAGTTCTAGTTCAGTTCTAGTTCAGTTCTAGTTCAGTTCTAGTTCAGTTCTAGTTCAGTTCTAGTTCAGTTCTAGTTCAGTTCTAGTTCAGTTCTAGTTCAGTTCTAGTTCAGTTCTAGTTCAGTTCTAGTTCAGTTCTAGTTCAGTTCTAGTTCAGTTCTAGTTCAGTTCTAGTTCAGTTCTAGTTCAGTTCTAGTTCAGTTCTAGTTCAGTTCTCGTTCAGTTCTAGTTCAGTATAGTTCAGTTCTAGTTCAGTTCTTTTTCTATTCTTTTTAGTTCTAGTTCATTTCTAATATACTTCTAGTTCCCTTCTGGATCTTAAATTAAAAGCATTATTACCGTTTTTTTTTTTTTTTAATTTTTCTTTATTAAAAATTGATTTTTAAAAACTAGCTCTTACATTTCTACGGAAGAAATTAATCCATTAATACCTTTCATATTTGGCTTTTGCCAAACTCACACTATTATTACCCATATTATTGTTATTATTCATCATTGTATTGGAGTTATTTAGACCTCCCGTAGAACCATTAGTATTTGTCAAGCTGTTTGAGGTATTCGATAAACAATTAGAGGAACTGCTATAAGTGGGATTTTGATTCATATTAGGGCTAGCTTGAGCCACAGTATAAACTTCATAGTCGGTAATGGTAAAATTATAATCACCGAAAAGGGTTTCATAGGAAGCATTGGGACCATCATACGAATGCGGTAGATTTGAATAGGAATCTTTATTGGTATTGCAGTTGTTGGCTATTAGCAAATCGGCGCCTGCACCAAAAATGGGACCACAGCTGTAAGAAAGTTAAGATTAAATTAAAGGTTAATATATCTGGCGACAACTTACTCTGGATGATAACAAATGGCATAAGGTTTCTTAACTATATCAAATTTTAAAGGGGACTCTGAGACGCCAGCATTTAAGGCAAACAGAAAAGCCCTTTCGGAATGTATATAAACACCCTTGCGTGATGTTTTAGCCCAGGCCACATCGGTAAAGCCACCGCTTATTTCACCATGGGAACCCTTAATAGAAAACAAACAAATTTTTAAACTAAATGAGAATTATAAGAACAAATTTATAAAAATTAAACTAATAACAAAAGTTGATTCAAAATTCAACAACACAGGGCTCCACATTGGAAAAAATTGTTCTTAAACCAAAATTACCAAACATATGACAAAACAAGGCGCCACTCCATCACAGTAGCGATGAAAAGCTGTCGAAGAAAAGCCATGAGTAGAGGCACGATACAATAAACGCCAGGATTGTTTAGAGCAACCATACCTTAAAAGAAATATACAAATTTTTATTAAAAAAATACATTTTCCAAAACCTAACCTCACTTACCAATTATTCAAAACACTTTGCAAATGCAACTTATCGTTTCTCAAAATCTGTGAACCGGGAAACATATTAATCGTTAATCTAGGCTGTAGTCTCTTATCACCATCGATTTTAGCACTAAAACTACCGCCAGCACCCATATTTCCCATACCACCTCCACCCATACTCGACCCACCATGATGACCACCCGGTTTATTAGTGGAATTTTGTAAGGCGGCATAACGATAACGCTCTAAAGATAGTTCCATGGGTACAGCGCCTGTGGGCTCAACTTCTTCGGCAAATACTTGACTATCGATTAGTAAGAGACGTACGTGACACATAACACCCTGTAGCTGTTGGCAAACACGACCCCTTTCCTCCTCTGTCCAATGAGCAGTAGGTTGAGTGACACCGGCATGATTTTTAGCCCAAGCGAGTACACAACGCCAGACATCTTCCTCTTCTAGGCAGAACTGCGATTAAGAAGATAAACAACTTTTAAATTATATGTTCAATCAGTGAATTCTGAAAATTTCACTCAAAATTATGGATTAAACTTATATAAATGGGAAATTTTACGTTTTATTTCTACTTACATAGTCCGATGATATTAATTTGATTAAGGCCTCCTTTTTCAAATTCAAAAATGCATTGGTTTTGACGCACTCATTGGCATTTTCTCCAATGTAAATGATACAGCGCTCCATAAAAGAAGCAGCACATTTGGCACCTAGATAATACAAATTGTATAAAATTTAAAAAAATCATCACTTCCAGCTCTAGTTTTGTTCTAGTTCACCTCTAGTTCTTGTTCAGTTCTAGCTTAGTTCTAGTTCAGTTCTAGTTAGTTCTAGTTCAGTTCTAGTTCAGTTCTAGTTCAGTTCTAGTTCAGTTCTAGTTCAGTTCTAGTTCAGTTCTAGTTCAGTTCTAGTTCAGTTCTAGTTCAGTTCTAGTTCAGTTCTAGTTCAGTTCTAGTTCAGTTCTAGTTCAGTTCTAGTTCAGTTCTAGTTCAGTTCTAGTTCAGTTCTAGTTCAGTTCAGTTCAGTTCTAGTTCAGTTTCTAGTTCAGTTCTAGTTCAGTTCTTCAGTTCTAGTTCAGTTCTAGTTCAGTTCTAGTTCAGTTCTAGTTCAGTTCTAGTTCAGTTCTAGTTCAGTTCTAGTTCAGTTCTAGTTCAGTTCTAGTTCAGTTCTAGTCAGTTCTAGTTCAGTTCTAGTTCAGTTCTAGTTCAGTTCTAGTTCAGTTCTAGTTCAGTTCTAGTTCAGTTCTAGTTCAGTTCTAGTTCAGTTCTAGTTCAGTTCTAGTTCAGTTCTAGTTCAGTCTAGTTCAGTTCTAGTTCAGTTCTAGTTCAGTTCTAGTTCAGTTTCTAGTTCAGTTCTAGTTCAGTTCTAGTTCAGTTCTAGTTCAGTTCTAGTTCAGTTCTAGTTCAGTTCTAGTTCAGTTCTAGTTCAGTTCTAGTTCAGTTCTAGTTCAGTTCTAGTTCAGTTCTAGTTCAGTTCTCGAGTTCAGTTCTAGTTCAGTTCTAGTTCAGTTCTATTCAGTTCTAGTTCAGTTCTAGTTCAGTTCTAGTTCAGTTCTAGTTCAGTTTCTAGTTCAGTTCTTCAGTTCTAGTTCAGTTCTAGTTCAGTTCTAGTTCAGTTCTAGTTCAGTTCTAGTTCAGTTCTAGTTCAGTTCTAGTTCAGTTCTAGTTCAGTTCTAGTTCAGTTCTAGTTCAGTTCTAGTTCAGTTCTAGTTCAGTTCTAGTTCAGTTCTAGTTCAGTTCTAGTTCAGTTCTAGTTCAGTTCTAGTTCAGTTCTAGTTCAGTTCTTCAGTTCTAGTTCAGTTCTAGTTCAGTTCTAGTTCAGTTCTAGTTCAGTTCTAGTTCTAGTTCAGTTCTAGTTCAGTTCTAGTTCAGTTCTAGTTCAGTTCTAGTTCAGTTCTAGTTCAGTTCTAGTTCAGTTCTAGTTCAGTTCTAGTTCAGTTCTAGTTCAGTTCTAGTTCAGTTCTAGTTCAGTTCTAGTTCAGTTCTAGTTCAGTTCTAGTTTCAGTTCTAGTTCAGTTCTAGTTCAGTTTAGTTCAGTTAGTAGTTCAGTTCTAGTTCAGTTCTAGTTCAGTTCTAGTTCAGTTCTAGTTCAGTTCTAGTTCAGTTCTAGTTCAGTTCTAGTTCAGTTCTAGTTCAGTTTAGTTCAGTTCTAGTTCAGTTCTAGTTCAGTTCTAGTTCAGTTCTAGTTCAGTTCTAGTTCAGTAGTTCAGTTCTTCAGTTATGTCAGTTCTAGTTCAGTTCTAGTTCAGATCTAGTTAAGTTCTAGTTCAGTTCTAAGTTCAGTTCTAGTTCAGTTCTAGTTCAGTTTCTAGTTAATTGCTAGATTCAGTTCTAGTCATTCTTAGTTCAGTTCTAGTTTAGTTCTAGTTCAGTTTACTTCTATTCGTTCACTTCTCGTTCAGTTCTAGCTGTCTAGTTCCTTAGTTTCCAGTATATCTCTAGTTCGGTTGTAATTTAAGTTCCTAGTTCAGTTCTTGTTCAATTCTAAATTAGTACTAGTATTGTCTATATCAGTTCTAGTTTAATTTCTGATTTGGCTTAAGTTCAGTCTAGTGCATTTCTAAAAGTTACTTAAGTTTTTTCTAAAACTAAAACATTTCTTTAAAAACAAATCCATTTTTTATTATAATTAATTTTAGTTTACATTCAAACTGTTTGGAAATTCATTATGTTAAATGCTGTTGTTTATAGTTTTCTTCTAGTTTCAAGTATAAAACACAAATTTATACAAATTTTCATTAAAACCTGAGCTTTTTCTTGTTCTATAAAAGAAAAATTCTTAATTATATATTTTTTTGTTATAGAAATAATAAGGACAAAAATTTTAGTTAATATTCTTTAAGTATAAATTAAAACTTAAACTAAAAGTCTATAAAAACAGACTCCGGCGGCAGCTGTCTTTCATTAATCCATTCAAACCAACCAACTGCCTGCTGCTGCTATTGTTGATGTCCAAATCTAACCTCAATCTTTGGAGGGGCTGACATTTTGTATTAAAGTAATATTGTCACCCTTGAGCATAATACGTCCCAGGTTTTTGCGTGTTCTGGTCTTGACCCATACCTCCTCGGCATCGTCCAGCACTAAATTCATGTATTCATCGAATCCCACAATGTGTCCCTCAATTCGTAAATTGATGTTTTCATACAACCACACTTGAACGCGGGAACGATTTTGTAAATAACGAAAGATAAGGTTAATGGGTTGTACCATTACCTTTTGGACCTTGGTGTTGCCTTTGAAGGACATGTTGGCGGAGTTTTTCTCTGGGAATTCCGCAAAATTTTATTGTTTTTAATGGATTTTTATGAGTTTTTGTGGCAAAACGTTTAGAAACCGGCGTCTGTTTTCTTTTTTTTTGTCAAACACGAAAAAATGCTTTATGTCAGTTAAATGTCAAAATCAAATGACGTTTAATCAACTAGGAGTATGTTCAGTGGGGTGAACTAATTACTAACATGATGTGTTTAGTTCGTTTAACAAAAGGGTTTGTGTCTTTACTAAAATGTCTATATAATGCTGGTACGCAGTTCATCCTAAAGGTATGCAGTTTGATTCTTATGTTAAGTAAAAAATAATAACTAAAGGTGAGTTTATTAAGTGATGGTGTATTTGGTGAGTAAATAAAAAATCACCAAATTACCGTTTAAAATATTTGTTTTAAAACTCTTTAAATCTCTTGGTTAAAAATTTATAGCCACTGTATTCTTATTTCTATAAAAACTCACCTGCTTTTTCGTGTATTTCCATGACAGCCGTCAAAAAAGTACAAGCATTATCCACAGACAGTGTTGCTATGACATGATCCTCACAAGCCGATCTCAACTCACAACAACCCATATCCTGTGCCAAGGTCATCATTTCAAAAACTCGCGAATCTTGTAACAAAATCTAAAAAGCAATTCAATTCACTTACATTATAACAATCAACAACATACTAATACCTTGGCTGTGTAAACGTATAGAACAAATTGTCGTAATACTTCCGGGTGAACATGTGGCAGTCTCACAGATGTCGGTGTGCCAGGAGCAGCAGGTGAAACAGAACAGCCGGGTATGCGGCAAATTTCACCACGTTTATTGGTTTTAAAGCTTTTGCAGCTAAAAAAAAGTGGAGAAAAGTAAATTGAACCAGTGGATTAGACTAGGGACGACCTATTGAAGCAACCTGTTCAGAGGCTCGTCTACAGACTAAACTATAGAACAAAACTATTCACAAGAATGTAGCCCTGACATTGACAAATGATAGAAAGGACAACTAAACTAGAACTGAACTAGAACTTAACTAGAACTGAACTAGAACTGAACTAGAACTGAACTAGAACTGAACTAGAACTGAACTAGAACTGAACTAGAACTGAACTAGAACTGAACTAGAACTGAACTAGAACTGAACTAGAACTGAACTAGAACTGAACTAGAACTGAACTAGAACTGAACTAGAACTGAACTAGAACTGAACTAGAACTGAACTAGAACTGAACTAGAACTGAACTAGAACTGAACTAGAACTGAACTAGAACTGAACTAGAACTGAACTAGAACTGAACTAGAACTGAACTAGAACTGAACTAGAACTGAACTAGAACTGAACTAGAACTGAACTAGAACTGAACTAGAACTGAACTAGAACTGAACTAGAACTGAACTAGAACTGAACTAGAACTAGAACTGAACTAGAACTGAACTAGAACTGAACTAGAACTGAACTAGAACTGAACTAGAACTGAACTAGAACTGAACTAGAACTGAACTAGAACTGAACTAGAACTGAACTAGAACTGAACTAGAACTGAACTAGAACTGAACTAGAACTGAACTAGAACTGAACTAGAACTGAACTAGAACTGAACTAGAACTGAACTAGAACTGAACTAGAACTGAACTAGAACTGAACTAGAACTGAACTAGAACTGAACTAGAACTGAACTAGAACTGAACTAGAACTGAACTAGAACTGAACTAGAACTGAACTAGAACTGAACTAGAACTGAACTAGAACTGAACTAGAACTGAACTAGAACTGAACTAGAACTGAACTAGAACTGAACTAGAACTGAACTAGAACTGACTAGAACTGAACTAGAACTGAACTAGAACTGAACTAGAACTGAACTAGAACTGAACTAGAACTGAACTAGAACTGAACTAGAACTGAACTAGAACTGAACTAGAACTGAACTATGAACTAGAAATGTAACTAGAACTGAACTTCGAACTGAACTAGAACTGAACTAGAACTGACCTAGAACTGAACTAGAACTGAACTAGTAACTGAACTAGAACTGAACTAGAAACTGAACTAGAACTGAACTAGAACTGAACTAGAACTGAACTAGAACTGAACTAGAACTGAATTAGAACTGAAACTAGAACTGAACTAAACTGACTGAACTTAACTAGAACTGAACGGAACTGAACTAGAACTGAACTAGAACTGAACTAGAAATCACTAGAACTGAAACTAGAACTATCAACTAGAACTAAAAAACTAGAACTAAACTAGAACTGAACTGAACTGTATATTAGAGTAGACTATAGACTAACTATAGACAAATTATAGACTGGAATACACTATCAATTTTTAGAGTAGGCTTGACTATACTATAGTTTAAACTATAACCTAATCACTATATTGTAGACTAAAGGCTAGACTATAACTATAGTTTAAACTATAAACTAATGGACTACATTGTAGACTAAAAGGCTAGATTATAGACCTGATTATGGACTAGGCTATAGACCTTTTACAAAATATAAAATGCTGCACATTTTTTAAGTTCTCTCATGTCATGCTTAACTCTATTACACTAGCAATTACACTTGTCATCATTTGAAAAGCTATAATTAAATTACTACATAGCGGTAATTAAAATAACATATTAACACTTATCATGAAGTCTGAAAAGCTCACACACCAACACACACTATAAATCATTCTTGTCACATTAAATGATTAATTTATTTTTTCTGCACATTAACTGAAGAATTTCTTTGCAATATTTTCCACTCTAGTGAAAAACTCATAATACATTATTCTCATTACAGCAGAAAACCGCTTAACTAAGAAGTCTTAATAAAGACAACAAATTTACACATAATTGCAACATCATAAACTTTACTAAAAAAGAAATGCAACAAACATCACTATTATTGCAACATAAGGTGGGAATTAAAAATGTATATAATTCTTATTTTTTCTTTGGCTACGTGCAAAGTAATTTGTGGCAGCAATTGCCACAATTAAAATTATTTCTTGTTTTTTTTTTCTTTTCTTTAAAACTGTTTTAAAGAACATACCACCACGCATAAGTTAAAAATTGTATACAATTGATATCTGCCGGTTGGAAAAAAAAATTCCCATTTTTATACATAGGTGTAGTATACAGCGGTGAGTGTGTACAAATTTATGTGTATGTCTTTTAAAAAACGCAACTTGCCACAGAACATGCAAACTGATTTATTATTAAAACTCTATATTTAATGAACAAGTTTCTTTACTAACTCGCACAAGAGGCAATAATGTTTAACACACACTTTGTAGGAAATAATTTTACGAAAATAAACTACTAAATCAAAAAAAGAAATAACAACATGTTGCATAGTATGTGTTTAAAAACAAAGATATTGTGCAACATTTAATAACTGTTCACAGTGGACAAGATGACACCGTTATGCAGCTAGATACCTCTCTTGTCTTATTAAAAGAGCTCTAGCCCATAGACTAGACTTTTGTTTAGATTTTACTCTAGACTCTAATCTAGTCTTGACTCTAGTCTAGGCTATAATGTAGGCTCTAGTCTTTAGTCTACGCTCCTATCTAGGCTATAGTTTAGTTCATAGTCTAGGTTCTAGTCAAGGATCCGGTCTAGGATATAGTCTAGGCTCGAGTCTAGGTTCTAGTCTAGGCTTTAGTCTATGCTCGTATCTAAGCTCTAGTTGAGACCCTATTCTAGATTATATACTACACTCTAGACTAGCCTCTACTCTAGACTCTAGTCCAGTCCCTGTTCTAGACTCTATTAAACTCTTCACTCTAGCCTAGACCCTAGACTAGACTCTTGTTAAGACTAAACTTTAGTCTAGATTCTAATCTAGTCTAGACTTAAGTCTAAACCCTAATGTAGTCTAGACTTTAGCCTTTGACTAGTCTAGTCTAGACTCTGGTCTAGGCTGTCGTCTATTCTTTAATCCAGGCTCTAGTCTAGACTTTAGTCTACGCTCCTATCTAGACTATGGTTTAGTCTATAGTCTAAACTCTAATCTAGACTATGCTCTAGTCTAGACCCTAGTCAACATCTAGCCTCTAGTTTAGACTGTAGCCTTGACTCTAGTCTAGACAATAGACTAGACTAGTCTAGTCTAGCCTCTACTCTAGACTCTAGTCTAGACCCTTTTCTAGACTCTATTCTTGACTATATTCTAAATACAGTCCTAGACTCTATTCTGCACTCTACTCTAGACTCCAGCATATACTATAGACCCTGGTCTGGACTCTAGTTCTGACTTAAATCTAGACTCTAAGGTAGCCTCTAGTATAGTATCTATTTGATCATCTACTTTAAACTCTACTTAGTAAATTCTTCACTCTAGCCTCTAGTCTAGTGTCAGTTCTTATTTCTGATCAAAATATGTAAATCTGATCTAAATATAAAAATTTCTTGCATTTTTTTAAAATTTCCTTCCCACTGTACAACCTTTATTTAAACTGTTTTTGTCTCAGTTTCTTTCGCTCGCTCTCTTTCATTTTTAAATAGCACTTTTAAGGAATGTTGGTTAAGGCAATAAACAGACAACAACAAAAACAACTTACCGTGCCATCATTATAATACGATGGGCATAAATACGTTCCTCTTCGCGACCACATATAAATACCACATCAGCACTATCCTGGTCTTCGGAGAGTCTTTGTAAATCATCAATGAGTTGTGGTAAACCGGCCACAGATTGTCCATCACATATTAAAGGGGTGGGACAGGGAGGCGGTACACGTGTACCCATTGTTTGTTGTGGTTTTTGTTGTTTTTTTTTAGTACAACTAAAACAAAGCCAGCAAACTCAGCGGTAAATTACTCTTTTTTTCCTTTTTTTAGTTTAAATTTAAACCAAGTTTGTGGCTTAAATCTTTTGTTTTAGTTTCAACACAGGCTCAAGTTTGTTGCTTAAGTCTTTAGTTTTTTTACACACGTGCTGATTTTTTTCAATAAGAAATATACAACAACAATAATCAATAACAAAATATCAGCATAAAATTGTGGCAATTTTTTTTTGTTTATTTATGTTTACAAACAAATTAATATCATGATGGATTTGGCTTAATCAAAACATCTGTTTAGCAGAGAGCTTTTGTAGTTATCACTCTCTATCCCCTTTCAACACTCTCTTTATAAAAACCGTTTTTTTTTTTTTTTGTTTTGTTTTTGGTAAACAAAACATACACAAAAAACCGAAAATATTCAATACGTATAGCACGCGCTTTTTTTACCAAACAAACTGGTTTTTACTACCATTAAATTGTACAAAAAAAAGCACCACAAATTTTATTTAAACACCAGAAAAATTTCTATACACTATTCATTCATTTGTTGATTTCTTTCTCATCATCATTCAGAAATATATAATTTAATAAATACGGTAAATTTTCTTTTAATAATTAATCAAATAATTTAAATTGTTTAAAGCTCCTTTGTTTTTTACACTAATTATTACTTCTTTTTAAGTTAATTCCTCTTTAAAGTTTTTGATCTATACAATTGATCGTGCTTTTTGCTTGCTTCAACTCTCGCGTTTTCTATAAGACTGACTGAAGAGCTTGGTTGGCTGTTGTCTGCCTGTTGTTAAACTATTCAGCTTCGCGCGATGCTTACAGTCGAAGACACAGGTAAGAAATTGGTCTCTTTAGGTTTTTATTATTTTAGTTTTCTTTTGGGATTTTTTTGTGTTTTTTCATTCGAATAAGAAAATTATGTACGATTGGAGGTATGAGATGGAAGTTTGGTTTGAAGTTCAAAGCCTACTTTAGGGCTTAAAACTAATAAGATGATTTTAATAGAGGGGAGCTTTTTTTATTGGAGTTCAAATAGAGTCGACTTAAATGATCATAAGTCTTAATTTAGCATTTCAATACACAGACAGTTTTAAGCATTAAGAGATAGGATCAGGCTGAGATCGTGAAGGAACATATCATTAGGGGAAAGAAAGGTGCTTGGAGCGCACAATAGGCCCTATTGTGGACTAGGTGTACTTCTTCGGATTTAATACAAACAGTAACAAACAATGAGAGAGGATCAGGCTGGCTGGAAGTAGAGTTAATTTAAATGACGTCACTGTTCGGTGGAATGCACTTCTCTGAGGAATGCGTTTACAAGATTCTTAAAAACAATATCAACATAGTTTTTCGTTTACACTGCTAAACTAAATTTTAAGAGATTTATTATTTCAGATAAAATATACTTCATTCTCATTCAATCTCCTTTCTTTATTTTAGGGGAAATTTTATTTCATCTCTATAATGTTGATATTGAAGGACGATAGATCGCTCTTCACGCAGCCATTCCGTGTATACGAACGTTTTTAAGTTCATTAGGATAGATCGCATAGATCCTACTAACATGAGAATATTACTGAGGAGTTGTCAAATCTCCTTCCTTTCATTTAGGGGAAATTTAATAATGAGGAAATCTCAATATTGAAAAAAAGGTCGCTTTTCACGCAGTGTATTCGAAAGTTTTTAAAAGGAAAGAGCTAGTTCGTGATGGACTATGTTGGAATTGTCTCATTGATACTGGTGGCATGCGATGATACCGCGATAGCCAATTATGTCGGTATGGGAGTGCTTGTATCAGCCTGGTAGTCCAGCTGGTCTTATTCTGATCCAGTAATTCGTGATCAAAATAACTGTTAGGATTCAGAATGAAGTTAATGCGCTTCAGGTCTTTTAAATGAGCGGCTGACTGCACTACAGATATACTCATTACAGCCTTATTTCATTCTTCCTTGTACTGCAACACCACCTCCATTAAAGGAATGAACTTAATAAAACAAGATGGAGTAACAAACCCAACTGCATCATATGGCCAATGATAAAGTACAGACAATATTAAGTCGACACCAATTTGGCAATATGATTGTCGTCACTTGGTATCCATACTTACCTTTTAATAACTCCTGTATAAGTGATCAAGACAAAGAGGAATCAATTCGATCATCTTCTTTGTCACTGTTCTGGTTACACTTAGTTGCGGAACATAAGTCTTTAGACTTCTACCTACTCTCTTCTCTTGCTATATCATTTTAATTCTTCACATTATAGTCTAGAGAATGGAAGAGAAGGGAGGTTTCTAAAGGCCTCAGTCACAAGAAATATAACACAAACTCGAGAGCCGATATATTTCTGTTGAAGAATGGTTTGATAATAGACCAAAGTGGCCTAATATACTTCTATTACATGTTATCCCAATCAAATAATTACACATAACTTTAAAGATCAAATTATTGAAGATATTTTTCAATACATTGGCACTAGTATACACTCAAACTTATTTCACTACAATATAAATTCAACAAAAACAATTTCAAAAAATAAAAACTGCATCAACAATTTCATATTTAATGTCAACGACTTGCAGATTTCCAGCTTATATATTGTTAATGACATCCATCCGTCCACTCGTTCACACACAAAAAGAAATTCCCAAATCTCCAGCTGTGTATGAATGTTGAAAATTTCACAAAAATTACCAATGGTCAATCTGCTCAAAGTATTTGATTAACAATTGTTATCAGTCATTATGACACCAGCTTTTCACAGAGCTTGTTTGCAACAAATTCATAAAGTTTTTGTTACAAACTGTTACTTTTTTTTTTGTTGAATATTTCTTTTACGATTTGGTTTCAGAAATAAACACATCGTACTTTTTTTTCTCCCTTTTTAAAGTGGCAGTGGTAAAAATAACGATAAAATTTAATTACTTTTTCATTGCTTGACAATTTTTGTGTGTGTTCTGTTCGGTTCTGTTCTGTTTGGATGGTAGTTAAAAAGATGAAACTTTTAACAGATGATAAAAACGACAACAAAAATGAAAATTATTTTATTTGATTTGTATATATTGTATGTAAATGTAAAAGAGATGTGTGTAAAAAACAAAAACAACAACAATTATAACAACTTGACTGCCGCTCATATGCTTGACAATAGTATGAAAAACGCAACCAATAAAGGATGTTTGAGGAAGAAAAAAGACAGTGGGTAAATAGAATGTAGAAGACTGGATGGTAAAGGAAAATTGAATAGAACTTCTAGGTTAAGAAAAATTCAAATTCTGTCAATTTGAAATATGTTTTAATTTTCTTTGTTTAGATTTTTTATTGTTTCCCTTCAATGTTTTATTTTTCTCCTTTTGCTCCACTGTTCTTAGGGGACAATAATACAATCAAAGTTTCATCAAGAGAATGTTGAATGTGAGAAGTGGAATTTAACATTTGTTTCAATGTGTATATTTAAAAACTATATGATTGAAATTCGTTTAAATTTGCATTTGTTAACAAATATACACTGACAAAAACGTACACACACACCGACATAATTTCAAGCATACAAACCCCAGCAGTTCTTGGGTTTGGAACTCAATCGTCACTATTGTGTTTCTAGGTAATCTAGAGAGATTGATATTGGGTTTGAGATTGAAATCTTTTAATTCCTATAGTTCAAGGGAAAACCATCCATTACATCTCATCGGTGGTGCATTTTTTAGAGCGCTTGAGATCCCATTAGTCGATCGTGTTCGATATCTCAGCCTGGATAATATGAATATCATTTTGCGAAATAGTCGGCCGTTAGATTGCCATTTGTTGACAATTTCTTAGAGTTAAGCAAGTATTAAATGCAATTTAGAATACATTTCAATCTTATCACGTTCAGGATGAAAACCTAGGAATTTGATAGAAGTCTGCTGATTAAAGCCGACGTCTAAAGATTTAGTTTACGGATGTTTTTTTGAGATCGTATCGATGGCGATAAAATCACCCTGAGACGGTGATCTACTCGTCTCGAAGTACATTGTTAGCAGATAGTCTGTAACTTGACTTACCCATCTATTAAGTTAATTGACTATTTTGGAACTGCAGGGTCATATATTAACAAATACATAGCACATGTATGTGTTGATTATTTAAAGGAGGATGTTGATATTCAACACACTTTTTTGTTGACGATATGATGCCTACTCACACACAATCACCCACCCACATACAGTCACCCATATTTACAGATTTACATATAATAATAACAACAACAACAATGACAAAAAAATCCATAATGGAAATGTAATGGTAAAAGAAAAACAAAACCAAAAAATCAAGCAAAAACACACTGAGAGAAAAAAACAAAACAAAAAAAATCCTCATAAACAATACAATTCTCAATGAGTCTATGAACAGTAATGTTTAAAATCGAAGAAATTTTACTTAAAGGAAAAATTTGTGGTCCTTACTCTGCTCCGCAAAACGGCGAAGTTCTAGAACTGAACGTATCCTATACAAAAATTTGGACTTTTATCGTGTTGTTAACCTCTAGAAACACCTATGCAAAGAAAAGTTGCTTAGGTTTTCAACACTATTGTGAGCATATAACCAAATGTGTGACATTAATGTTTGGCTCAGTGATGGTTGGTGTTGCTCTTGATGTTGATGCTGACGATGAAGGCAACTACAATGAAATAATCAACGTTGTTGTTGTTGTTATTGTTTTTGTTGCTGCTGTTGTTACTGATGTTCATAAACAACAAAATAAAAACAAACAAATGAACGAATGAAAGAGGAACAAAACAAAAAAAAAAAATCACTCTTTTGTCTGTAAACATTCAGAGACACAATTAAATCTGAGAACATGTACCCAAACAATTACACTTACATACTTACATACACATACTTTACAAATGACATTAACAAATAGAGACACATAGTACTACAAACAAATCTTTATATTATTTTACAGAAATATGTACAACCAAACAACAATCACCTCCCGAGACACATATAGAACAAAGTAACATAGAACGTTGACAATTTTATTGTCATGTGTTACAATAAGATTTAATATTTTATCAATTATCTTCTGGATATATGAAAAATTCACAGATACAAGGGAAAAAAAACAAATATAAAACACCAACAAACAAATAAATGTTATAAAAAAAATCATTAAACTAAAGAATTGTAAGGATTTTTGCAACATTTCTACGTAGAAGGGATACAGTAGTCTAGTATCTATAGTGTCTGAGGTCAGCAACTGTTTGCGGTGTTAAGGGAATGATTTTGTGTATGTTGTTGGTAGTTTTTGTTTAAGATAATGTTGAAATAAATGAATGGTATTTAATTATGGTATTCAAAATAAAGTGTTAAGAAATTTAGATAAATTCAACAATCCTTCGCAAATTGAGGAACCGATTTGGCAATTCCTTCTCCTTAAACACAATCGAGATTTATCGAGAATTTACTGAATGAATTGCCGTATTTCAAAGAGTTTTAAAGATCCTCAGTGCTTGGTTTTATCATCAATACTGAACAATTGAAGTAGAAGTATTTGCTAACTTAAGAAGACTATAACAAAGTACTGTTGATCATCGGTTATATATAGTAGATTTGAGAGAAATATAGATTCAAAATCACAGCTTATGATCATAGTCCTATAATACTCCCAACTTGTAAGGTGTAAAGCCATACCTTGTACGCGGACATAGGAGACGAGCGCAATCACATTTTTAAATAACTACGAT